TGCTGGAGTGTGAAACTGATGACTGATGAGCTCTAAGTGGACCATCATTTTCCAGGTTCATTCTCCTACATTGCTTGTAAAAATGAATGATACTGAGTTGTCACTGAGACCAGCCAACACCCCAAAGTGGATTTTTGACTTGCTTTCTTCCCTGCAACTCACACAGTATAAAGGGAACAGGTGTAGCACAGCAAGTCTACTCACCATATTAGCAACTTTTTGACTGCAGAAGTATTTTCTACAAAAATAAAAATTGAACCAACTCCTCCTCTGCTCACATGCAGTACTAGCAGCATAGAGCAAGGCATGATCTGAAAAACAATGTATTAAGTGACAGCCTAATGTTGTGTTCATGCATTTGATTATGTCTGTCAGTAACTTGATATCTGTTGCCGAGATGAACAACTCACCTTGTGCATCCATAACAGAAAAAACTCCAATCTTCCCTAGAAACAGTAATAATGAGAAAATCAACAGAGCCTGGCCTGCTCTTTTGTGGCTTCAGAGGGAAAGGTTTAAGGTAATGTGGCTTTATAAGAATCAATTAATGGAAATTCATTTTCTTCATATGCTAGGAAAGAATAAAAATGAGACAGTTTTTCTGAAGCATAGTTATAAAGCAAATAGTGGGAATAAGGAGCAAATAAGAATAGATGAGTATTCTACCAAAAAGCAGATTCAGTCATAGAAGACACTCTTTTTGATAAGGATCACTATGACTACCCCTATCACATTAAAGGTGTCAACAGACAATGGAACTCAAATTTAGACTTCAGGTCTGGGCCTATGATAATCATTCAGCGGAAAGAGTAGTCCATTTTCAAATGTTTCATTGTACTTCCAGATTAAAGAAATTCCATACTTATCCATGTAGGTATTTTTTGAACACTTACTGTGCTGTAAAGGTGGAAGAAAGGACTTCTAATTACAAAGAATGAAAAAACTCGCACTTTATTGTGTCCTCATTTTTGGAAGAAAGCACTCAATTTTACTGGTGGTAACAGACTGCATTTCATGGAGAAGAGTGAGGGGCAAGTGCCCAGGGGAATAAAATCAGAGGCGTAGAAGATGTCATGGAGAATCAAATGGGGTTCTGAAAAATTAAGGAAGACAGAGTTTCCATCCATCTTTCTCTCTCGTTTCCCCCATCCTTTCACCTCCCTTGGTCTCCATCCTCCGATAGGTCAGTTCCCACAGTGTTAAGCAATCTCCCACCCACTCCATCAGCAGACATATCCAAACCAGGAGCTCTGCTCACCCTCTGGAATCTCACACTGCAGAAGTAGAGAAGGGAGTGAGTTGAGGTGAGCCAGGGAGCCCAGAGGTTGGTCTGGGAAGGACGGCTAGGATCAATTGCATCAAAGTTGCATTTGCTGATCCTACATCACTTTAGAGATGGTGTTTAAGGGCAGCTGTTGTTGTGAGGGGGCTGTAGCTCCACAGTCTTATGGAGATTTCTTGGCAGAAGCAGTTGGACCCAAAGGCTGTGCCCACTGATGGCTGTGGCTGGATTGCTGGGCAGTGTATGTATCTGAGACACCCTTTCATCACAGTGTTTAGCGTTGTTGCAGTGGGACATTGAGTGCCCTCGGCAACTGTGTGTTTTTTCTGTGCCTAAATCTGGTCCAGGGAAGTACTGTCAACTTCCAGCCTTTGAGTCACCCCGATTACGCATCTTGCAATGGGTGGACAAGGACAAACACATCTGCCCAGTGCTGGCTTCTCTGTCTCCATCTGAACTCTCAAATGTGTGGCTACTTGTGCACCACAGGCAAAGCCCCGTGCTCCCACTCTGAAGATCTCATGAGCCTGTAGAGCAGGCAGCAGAGAGGTAGTGTGTTCTCTGGAGCACTCTCAGTTTATGCACCTCTGTAACACAATGAGGAAGTCTGGGTTTTGAGGTTTTGGGGTTTGAGTACTTGTTGTTTTTCAGCTGGGATATAATGCAGCAGAACAATCCAAACAGCCCACAAGGACAGTGGCGTTACCACAGACAAAGGAACAGTCCTACTCAGGGTATTTCTTTGCTTGCCTTTATTTAAGGCAAATCCTCAACTGAGGCTTAAAAAAATTCACAGAAATAATTAAAAATAAAATCTCCAAGCAAAGCAGTGCTATGGATGGTAGTACCAAAGTCTGTTACGTTTGGAGTCCAGAAAACTAGTGTTGAGTGGCCTCACTGTGACCCAGGAGCTGGAAGGGAAATGGGAAGAAGAAGAGAAAGAGGAAGAAGGAGAGAGATAAGAGAAATCTTGGCAGAGACACTGGGGCTGTTTGCAAACTTTTGGCTCTACAGGGAGTGGAGTCACTGCAGGAACAAGATTAAAACCAACCTTTCTTAAAAGTCTCAAAATCCTGAAGAATATTTTATTACTCTAACAACAATACAAGTGCTCACAAGAACTGCCTGGGCGTATTGCTGTGCCGGTGGTTTACAGCATTTGTGCAGACTGCAAAAACACAAATGGGAGACAAGACCCTCTCTTTGGTCTTTGCAGCAAGAACTTTCTAGTTTTTAGCAAATGTCTGGTAGTGAACAAGTTTTCTGAATGTCTTTGGAGTCTCAGCAGCTTTCACAGTGCAAGCAGTGCGGATGTAAGGGAGAACTTAAACTACTCTGGTTGTGTTTTAAAAAGTTATTCAAAAGAAATTGTTAATGAAAGCTTATTTGGAAACAGAGAAAAATTTAGTTTCAAAGGTGGCCTCTTGGAGGTAATCTGGTCTAGCATAGTTTTATCACCCTGAGAGAACTTTCTCTACCATTTCAGCCACCTGAGATGAATTTAACCATCCTGACATGACTTTAACCATCCTGAGACCTGCTGGAATGGCAAAATGGCAGGGTAGAAGCAAGCCAGGAGAATTACAGAGATCATCAGGAACA